GCAGTCCGGGACCGCCCCCGAAAGTGCTCACAGTCGGCGCCGGTCCCCCAGCTCGCCGAGAGGAGTACGCGGCGTCGACGGGGGGAGACTTCCGGCCGCGTCTGGACCGCGGTAAGTCCGGACTAAGGGACTTCGAATTCAGCTACGTTCTTAACTTAGCTGAATTTGCGTACCTTAGTCCGAAGTCCGGACTAAGTGGGGACCAGCCCTAGGAGATTCAGCATTAGGTCTGAAAGTCCAGGCTAATGTCCTGGCCTCAATTCACCCTGTTGTAACTTTTCCCTCCCTCCCATTCTAGGCCCCAAGTCCCTGGTTTCTGTTTTGAGTTTGTTCCAGGCCTTCAGCAATACTTGCACACAGTATGTTGGTTTTAAGCTCTGTATGACTCTAGTCATCCCTGACTGATGACAGAGTCGGGTAAAACTCAGCAAGCGATTTTTGGGAACATGACAGCGTAAGCAGCAATTTGCGCTAAATGACGATGGTTTTAATGAGATCCACACTCGGGGTGAGCTCAGACTGAGGGCTTGATCATTTGTTTAAAAAAAAATATCCCGAGGATTTCCAGGATGCTCAGAGCCATGGTATCTAGTGATACCAGCCGAGCCAGCTTTTTATAAAGCATTTATGGAATTAGTCGGTGCTCGAGGCTGCAGGAACTCAGCCCATGCAAACCTCAGCCAAATTTCTGGCAGTGGACTGAATGTGGTGGTATGCATATGGTTAAGAGCAGGGATGTGTCTCCCAGCTGGGATTGCAGTGAGGGGCTGCTGGACACTGAGGGGATTGCAGAGGGTTGGGGTGATGGGGGAATTGTTGCTGCCAACACATCCCTTTCTTGCTTTTCTCCAGTATTTAAACATGCTGCGGACATGTGAGGGTTACAATGAGATCATCTTCCCCCACTGCTCCTGTGACTCCCGGCGAAAGGGTCATGTGATCACAGCCATCAGCATCAAGCACTTTAAACTCCACGCCTGCACAGAGGAGGGTCAGCTAGAGGTAAACTACTCAAGGGCATGGCAGGGCTTCCTGGGTCTGAGCAAGTTCAGCTTTGCTGCAGGAAGAGGCAGAATACTGGTTCCCCATTCCTGGGGTGTTGCAGCTGCTGGAAGAGTAAAGTTGAGAGCAGGAGGAGGTGGTAAATGCACTGCTGTGTGATTACAGAGACTGCAGCTATGTTGGATTCCCATAGCAAGCTCTGCAGCGTTAGCAGAACCTCCCCACTTCCCCTGCGCACCATTCTGCAGCATTCCTGGGACTCCCTTGTTTTTTCCATCTCTTCCCCTGCCCTCTGCCCTGCCCCGGTTCAGATCTGCCCTGTAGCATTTCAGGAGCTACCTTGCCTCCTGACTCGGCCTTGGCCAAGACCCTCCCAACTGGACCATGGCCTGCTCTGGAGCCCGATCTCTTCTTCTGTTTAGAACCAGGTAATAGCATTTGAGTGGGACGAGATGCAGCGGTGGGACACAGACGAAGAGGGAATGGCATTCTGTTTTGAATACGCACGAGGAGAGAAGAAACCTCGATGGGTTAAAATCTTCACCCCATATGTAAGTGGCCTTGTTAACTGCAAACGCACTAAGGAGAGGGACTTGCCCAGTTTTTAGAAACTGGTGTAAAATTCTCTTTGCCCTGATCTCTTGGCGTGAGAGAAGATTGCGCTGCGTAACCAGACAGCCACTAGGAGGAGCCAGAGATACAGTAAGTTCTTGCTGGGTAGAGCTGGTACCTCTGCCTTCCCCTGAGTGTACAGCTTCTGAGTCCCGCCCTGGTCTCTAATGGACGGCTGTCATTGGTGCTGCGCTTTACGTCAACCTGAGAGAAGGCTGCTTTATCTTTGCAGTTCAACTACATGCACGAGTGCTTCGAGCGGGTGTTCTGTGAGCTCAAGTGGAGGAAGGAGGTAAGATCCTGAAACTGCACAGAAATCGCTTAGTACGTTTTGTGAGTTGACAGTAACCCTTTCCTGGCAAGCTTTCGTACTGGTTCGCAAGATCAGCTTACTGCCCAAACCAGGAGGGGAGGGTTGTGTAGTGCGGAGGGCTGATAGTGGGGACTCCTGGGTTCTATTCCCAGCTCTGGGAGCAGGAACCTGGCAGTCACTCCTGGGTTTTATCTGCAGCTGTTGGATGGGAGTGTTGACGAGTGACTAGAACAGGGAGCTGGGTGTCAGGACTCCTGGGGCCTGATGGTCTCGTCTTTTGCATAGCGTAACTCCTTTTGAAGAGGAGGTGCTGTGCGTGTGTGACATGCGGTAATCAAACCCCTGCCTCTGCAAATCACTGGCGGTGACACCTTGGGCAAGTCACTCCCTTGCCTGAGTCTCCTGATCTGTTAAAAGGAGAGAGCAAAACCTCCCTCTCCCAGGAGGGTTATGAGGACTACTTAATTGTTCATCAAGTACTTTGAGATCCTGCAGGAGAAGGCTCTGTAGAAGTGCAAAATATTTTTTTAAATTATGCCCAGAATCCCAGTCCCGGTTGACTGCTCAGAATCGGTCAGTCATGACGTCCTCTTGGTAAATTATTCAATGTTTAGGTGCGACTCTGGCTGGTGCTGGGGCTTCTTTCCAAGCCAAGGAGACCTTAGCAAATAAGCCCACCCCACCTGTTGCTTGTTCACTTGTTTGTATTCATTGTTTTCTGCTTTTACTGCATGCACCTCTCCATCCTCTCCTGGTCCTTAGAGGAGATGTTTGGCCACCCCTCATCCACCTGCCAGAGTCTCCCTATCCCCATGTGACTGCTCTGTGTCCCCTTGGTACGGCTTCCTGTTACAGCGAACTGCAGTGTAGCAGGGAGATGGCAGAAGAAGGTAGCTGAGTTGGCTCAGAGGAGATGATGCAGAGTTAGTCTGCTTAGGATGTTGAGGTCTGATACTAGCAATGTGCTGGGCCATCATCCCGTGTAGTGTCTTGAATCACCACAAGGTGTCCGTTGGAAAACTTGTGCTGCTCTGTTGTCTCAGTGATTCTCAATCATCCCAGTACGTAAGCAACTGGATACAAGCAACTGCGGGAGGCAGGAGACTGCACTAAATGGGCCATTAGTCTGTTCTGTGCTTCTAAGTTCCTCTGCTCAACCCATTACCGCTGAGGATCAACTCGGTCACTTCTATCGTCTCTTGATCCTGAAGCAGGCAGCCTCCAGAAGTGACTAGCTTTGCTTATTAGAACGCTGTTGGGTGCCATCTCTGAACACAAGTTGCCTGTAGCATCAGATGGGCCTGGAGCAGACGTGTATTTCTGTAAGGACTGATGGGCTGATATTTGTGTAGGCTCCTATACCCCAGAGATCTGAGGCTGGTATGTGAATATGCTCTGGCAGTCTGGATAGCTCTCATCTGTACATAACCATGCCGTTGCCATGTGCACTGCTGGATTTCCTAAGGGGCAGCATTCGTTATGGTGGCTGGCAGGATTTTTGGCTCTTTATCACATGCAACAGCTGGGCACTATGGTTACGCAGTGAGGGGGAGAAGAGGCACTTTGGTCAGTGTATACAGACTTCTAGCTCTAGCCGTGTTCTTCAGGTTGGCACTGGGCCCCTCACGTTACTGTCCCCTGCTTGGGAGATATTGATCTGCTCCAGGGGCTAAGTCTAAACGTTGGCATCTCTTTCTGCACTCGTGTCAGAGCAGGGCTGAGCGTGTGTCGTGAACATAGGTCTGATCCTGGCTTAGTTCCTAACAGAAAGAATAGTAAACAGTTGAAATTCATTGCCTGGTGCTCCGGGGTGCTTATTGGAGCCTCCAAAATCCCATCCCTAAATTCACCCTAAATACACCAGTGCCATAGAAATAGATATTTAGTCCCCCGCCATCAGTTTTTATTTATATCCTTTTATATTTTTTTTTCTCGTAAAGGTGGAGGAGGAAGCGACAGACAAGGATAACAAGAACTTCAGTAAAGACAATATGTGCAGCAAGGTAACTGGGGTGAAAGCAAACAGCATCTGGGCTCTCTGAGCCGGTCTGATTGCTGTACTGCGGACCTACTATTTACTTCCTGCTTCTCCATGCCAATTCCTGCTAGTGTAGAATAGCGTTCAGAACAGTGGCAGCTTGTCCTTAAAGGAAACTTGCAAAGCAAAATATTTCCTGTGGCTGCATGCTGGGGAGAGATTGCCATGCCGCCTTAAGAAATGTTCTTTGTTTCCTTACACTGGATATATTTAGTCCTGACAGGTCCTGGACATGGGCAATCTTTGGAGAACCTGGAATGAGACTTTACCTGTGAAGCTCTCTCCACTCCCAGATGAGAGGGAAAGGGGGTCAGAAAGGAGCAGTAAAGGGGACACACATCTTTTTTACTTTTCAGTTTCTTTAAAGGACCAAAGACTAAACCCGGAAGCTGCATGCCAACTTTTCCCACGGTAGTACTGGAGGGGCGTCCTGGTACCACTTGATTGGCAGGTCCTGATCTCTTTTCCATCTCCATAATCAAGGGGTTAATTGAATAGTGGGGAGGGAAACCATCTTGTGTAGCTGAATCATTTAAGCAAAGCCGCCCTGCTTTTATCTGCTAAGCAGTAAGCATTTCTCACTGGTTCTACAGAGAGATTTAAACCTTTAGCCTCAAATTTTGCCTTCGGATGCACCCAGGAAGTTTCCATTGCCTGACTGGGGTTTTCTATCTTTAGCCTAATCTATGCTTAGAATGTAGGCTGGCGTAGCTGGGTCAGTCTGGGCTGTGAAAAGCCACACCCCCATGCCACATAGTTATGCTGACCAAACCCTCAGTGTAGACACAACTACACCAACAGAGAAGTGCTCCCGTCAAGATAGCTAATGTCATTTGCAGAGCTGATCCTATACCTTTGTCAGTATACCCTGTGTCTCTGCTAGGTGCTATGCTGGAGTAGCTTCTGTAGGGTAGATGTAATTTGAGGGTTTTATTCTGCTGCCCACACCTTAATATGCAGTCCGAGTGTACGTGACCCACACTACCCGTGAGCCAAACCCGACACTCGTCCCATCGTGTTGCGAGACCTGAGGCCTTTGGTTTCCTGAGGACCCACCCGCCCGTTTTCTGCCCCACTTTAACCTCTGGCTGTGCTGCAGTCTCCAGCCTTTCAGCTGTGCCAAAGGCTCCTTCAGGGCAATCTTTGACTCCGCATCTCCCCGTTGCTGCCCTAAATGCACACGAGGATTCGTTAGTCCGTGTTATACAGGAGGGTGGATGAGTTGAGTTGAGGGCTCACCAGTGAGCGCCAGTTCCTGTCTAGTTACCTTGTGCTCCTCCCTCCGAGTGAGAGCCCAGCCATTTATACTGCTGAAGTAAAGGCCACTTGCAGTATCTCTGTACGCACTCGACTCTGTCCCTCCCCTCCAGCTGTGTTTGACTGCAGCCTCTGGTTCTGCGTAGGCCCGTGCTGTTGACTTGCATCTCTGTGTGCCAGAAATCTTGTCAAGTGAAGTCTCTGCAGACTGCTGTGGTCTATTCCGTATGTGCAGGGGTAGCGGGGACACAATGAGCAGCATGGAACTTCCGTAATCGATCTATTGGCCTGTACAAATTGTTTACAGTGTTTCTCTTTGCCTGCAATGCTCTGGAGAACTCGGCTCTAGATAATTCCCCTTGCTGAGATTCCAGATGTTCTTGCATTTGTGTACGATGCCTTCCACTTAATTGCTCGCAGGTCCTAAACTAAGGCACCAAGTCAATTGGCTTAGGCTATGGGGCTAAAAATAGCAGTGTAGACGTTCCAGCCCTGGCTTGAGCCTGGGGTCTGAAACCTGGGAAGGGGGGAGGGTCTCCGAGCCCGGGCTCCAGTCCCAGCGTCTATGCTCCTCTTTTTATCTCCCTGGGAGCCTGAGTCAACCGACCTGGGCTCTGAGACTCGGCGCCAGGGTTTGTCTTTGCAGTGGAGACGTACCCTGAGTGTCATGTGGTGTTCAGGCTGTTACGTGCCCCCTTGTGACCGTATGGAAGAGTAGATCAGTGGTTTAATTCAGTCACAAGGGGGACCAGCGCTTAAACGCCGTGGTGAGAAGCACTGAACTAGAGAAAGTCTGGAGAGGGCGGAGCAGCCTTGACCGAGGGAAGCCGTGTGCTTCTGTTCCCTCTGCAGGCTCCCAAAGCAATCAGCAGAGAGAGCAATTCAGCCATCTCAGAGTGGGGATTGCGAGTGGGCACCAGGGCACAGTGGTCATGGGATTGGGAGGGGAAGGGGAGACAAAGGACACCTGGGCAAAACCCTCTTGTGAGATCTTTAATGACCATTCGGCACAACCAGGAACTTTGCTTTTTAAAAGCCTTGTTCAAAAGTCGGACGAATTTACTTCCAAGAGGTGCAAGGTGTGTGCAACCTGTCTGGATTCCTCTCCTTCCCTCTCTTGGGAGTTCACCTATTTCAGGCCAGATGCTGGTTCCCCTCCAAAGCACGGCTTCCCATGCCCACTCGCTGACCCAGCGCTATGGCAGTTCTACCTCTAGAGAGATGGGAGTATAAACCCCTCCCCTTTATAACCCACTTCCATGAGCCCGACTGCAGCTTCAGCAAAGGCTCCCTCCATGAATGGAAACCTCATCCTTGCTGGGGGGCAAAGGGGGCTAATTTACAGCTGCAAGCCCAGGGGGAGTAGATCTTTGCTTTAGCTGCCTGCTGCAAGGCTGGTCCTCCAACCCTTGCTTCCAGTGATGGTAATTACGAATGGTTATTGGTGTCGTCCATCAACCCTGCTTATGCTGCTGCTGCAGGGAGTGCAGTGGGAGCAGAGCATTGCAGCCTGCGCATCCCAAGGTGCTGGGGATTAGCACTCCGGGTACCAGAATCACTTCTGCACCCAGCGCTGGCAAGGAATCCATGCATGTGTGTTCCGAGATCTTCCTGCTCTCAACCACCACGCTGTTGTGTTCTTGGACAGACAAACCTAGGATGATGATGGGCTTGGGGATCTGAGGGGGAGGCTGCCTCATGCGGTAGGTCAGAGCACCAGTCGTTCCCCTGTCTGGGTCACAAGTGAACGGTCGATTGCAGAGCCTTCATTCGGTCTAGCTTCACTGCCAGGCTGTGCCCAGGATTGGATTACACAGCTGGCGAATGGAAGTTGCAAGTGGGGCTTGAGGCGTTGGCAGAGCTGGAATGGTCCGGGGGGCAGTAGATGAAGAATGAGGTGAACGAGTGGTGGGGAGGGAGGGACAGGACTAGTGTAGCAGGTGGGGGAGTTGCAGGTCAACACTGAGGAGCATTAGCGGAGCCTCATGTGACTAGCCCCAGGAGGTTTCATAGTCATAGCTGAAAGGCTGCATCTAGTCTGACCCCCTGTACAACACAGACCAGAGAACACCTCATAGAAATTCCTAGAGCAGAGCTGTTAGAAAAATACCCAGTCTTGATTTAAACATGGTCACCGACTCTCGGTGAATTGTTCCAAAGGTTCATTCCTCTCCCTGTTAAAAACGTTCGCCTTATTTCCAGTCCGCATGTGTCTCGCTTCAACTTCCAGCCGTTGGATGCTGTTCGACCTGTCTCTGCTAGACTGAGGAGCTCGTTAGGAAATATTTGTTCCCCCCGTGGGTACTTATAGATGGTGATCAAGTCACTCCTTAGCGTTCTTTTTTATCAAGCTAAATAGATTGTGCTCCTTGAGTCTCTCGCTATAAGGCAGGTTTTCTAATCCTGGTAGCCCTTAGTGGTGAGACCCAGCAATGGGGAGGGGTCTAGTGCTTAGAGTGGGGGACTGGGAATTGGAATTAAGACTCAATGGTCTGTTCTTTGCTTTCCTGTGGACTCGTCAAGTGACGTTGGGGCAAGTCACCCCCTCTGTGCCTCAGTTTCCCCCTCTGCAAAAGGGGCTGCCCTCTGTCTAACTTGCCCCGAGAGGGTTGATGATTAGCGAGGCTGTAAGAGCAAACCCAGAGGCTTACTGTAAGTAACATCTTTTTAATTTCCCTTTCTTCTCTTTCAGAATATCTTTCAGATGGCCAGATCACAGCAGAGAGACGCCGCCACTTAGCCCCTCCTGTCGTGGAAGAACGTAAACCCCCCCGAAATTAACACTTAAAAAAAGATTTAAAAAATTCTGTTATTGTATTAAAAGCCCTTAAACTAAATATTATTAATAACAATACCATTTGTGAATTTCATGGTTATGGAATTAAGCAACTAGGAAAAAACCAGCAGGCTTATCAGAGTAACAAGAGGGGAAAACTTTTCAACAGACAAAATCCACCCAAGGGTATTCTGTTTTTCTTTTTTCGTTTCACTTGGGTCCTGCATTGGAAGATGGACTGTGCTTATATTATATTTTTTACAACTGGAAATAGAAATGCCATCCATTTGCACTGTTCAGACATATATATGTATGTATGTAAAAAAAGAAAAAAAGGAAAAAAAAGAAAGTTATATATACAAAATACCACACGTATATACATATATATATTTCTTTTAAAATTTCATATCAGCAGCAGTACCTTTTCTAAGCTTGCGTTTTTACACGCATCTCTTTCCTCCGAATCCATCGTGTTTTTTTAAAAACTAACTTTAATGGAAAAAAAAAAAGACAAAAGTAACATTACAGGGAAATACCTCTCCTCTCAAAGGACCTTGACAAGTTTACAAGCTTTTAATTTGGGTTCTTTTTTTTTTCTCTTTTCATTTTTTGCATTGAACCTTTTTAAATAAGTATATAAAGCACCTGCCTCCAGAACTAGTGGGACAAGGAGAGAGGGGATTTTGTTCACTGACAGTCTGATCCTGCATCCTTACCTTGGGTAGCATTTAAAATCAGTGGGGCTGCTCACGGGTGTAAATGTTCACGCAGGGTGTGATGCTGTAATTGATGGGACGCTGAAAGCAATGGGTAGGATGGGTTTTGAGTTGGAGTCTTCCCATTGGCCTCAATGGACCTTGGGTCAAAGCCCTAAGGAGTGAAATTCACCTCTGTGCCAAAGTGCCAGATTAAGGCCTATTCTCAGTGTAAGGCCCACTGCAATCATAGTTTGAAGGGTTAAGTGGACCTGGGATGGTTCATAGTCCTTGTGCTGGCGCTTGGGTCCTCAGGCAGAGGTGCAAAAAGGAGAGCCGCAAAGCAGAATTAGCTCCGTCCAGCTTGGAGGGGAAGTGAGGCCCCGTCTGCGGCTTTCCCCACAACTTGATCAGATCTCTTTGGGGCGGGGCGAGACCGCCCAGAGCTGTCGCAGCCAAAGAGCTGATATCTTCCTGACGGGCTCTGGCTGCTCCTTGCGGCTTTCCAGGACAGAAGTAGCATTGTTTGGGTGCGGTGCTGACGCCTGTGTTTCACTAGCAGTCGGTTGGCCCAGGCAGGGTGGGGGAGACGAGGTCTGGCAGTGCCGGGTGGCTTCCCCGAGCTAGGGGCGGGTTTTAAACAGCCCCGTCTCTGTGAGAATTGGAACTGTTCTAACCAGCCAAGCAACAGCCTGGGTCATTCCTCTCCTTTCCTGCATGTGCCCTCTGCTTGCCCTTGAGCAGAGCTTAGTGTGGGGCCGAGCTTCTCCGAGTGCTTTTCAGTGCAAAGGCTTTTCTGTAGGGGAGGGGGTTCTGGCCCTGTATAAACCAGGCTGTTATGAATTCCTACTGCTTCACCTCCCCCCGTCCCCGGGTGTGTGGTTCTAGGACTGGACGCAGGGAGCCAGCTGCAGGTTGAAGGACCTGAGGAGGCAGCCGGAGGCTAGAGGACACCTGAGGTTAGTTTGCTAGTGAGCAGTCGGGTCATCCTTATAGCCGCTCAGGTTGATTTATGGCCCCGACTGGTGTTTTGGCAACTTCTACCCGTGTTGAGCTAGGCTGTGGTCCTTGTGGATCGTAGTCGTAACTCTTCACTCGTCCATTCCAGCCAATGGCCACGGTGCCCTTGCCAGCGACCTGGTCTGCCGAGTGTGAGGTCCAGCTGGCGTGGTAGCAGTACAGTACTGCCCTGCAGTGGGACTCGGTGGCACTGGAGGCCCCTCTCCTTGTCTTGCCTTCTGGGCAGGCAGGGCCGGAGCCCAGCACTTTCAGCTCCATGGTGGGTCAAGGGGAGAGGTCCGACAGCCCCACCTTTGATTCAGGAAGGACATCAAAGGGAGCCTGGGGACCTTGAAGGCGAGAGGCTAAGGAGAGTGGGAATGAACGAACAGTCAGTATAGACAGGAGGGGAAGAGGAGAGGGAAACGGGAGCAATGGAATTGGCTTACCGTCTTCAGAAAGAAGTCTAGGACAATTGGCAGCTTTCCCCTGAGCTGGGTTGTCTGTTGCCCGTGCATTTGAGAAGCTGCAAAGAAAGACCCGAAGCTGAGGCCTGGGCAGGCTTTCCTGCTTGCTTTAACTCGATACACCCTTACCTTGAAGAATCAGTCTCTTTAATAAAGCAGGACGGCCCTTGAGGCTCGTGGTACCCAGCTCGCCACATGTGGGATCTGACACTGCCTGTCATGGCATGAAGCCAGTGTGGTCTGCCAGGAGGCTGCTTTAAACTGCGGGCCAGGAAATGCTCTCTAAAGATAGACAGCATCCTTCGAGTCACAATTTCGAAGTGGGAGCAGCGTCAGCTTAGGAGAAACCTTGGCCTTGCACTTAGAATCCAGTGTTCTGCTGGCCTCTACATTTTTGCCTACAAACGTCTCATTTCTGGGCGTGAATTAGGTAGCTTAGGTACACCCGTCTGAGTGAGTGCAAAGAATTAAAGGCTGCAGTAGGAACTCTGTACTTTAGATCTTGAACCTATGACGTGTCCCTTCTGCAAAGAAACCAAATTGAGCTGCGGAAGCTGGGTGGCTCTGTATAAGGGGCTTTAATATGTTAACCCATTGGATGCCTTGGTGCACCGAAACCCGCCTCCTTTGATTTGGTATTGCTGGACGCAACCTAAGTATCTGGGCCAACAGGTTATGCAAACCAGCTTTTGTGCCCTGTAGATGGCGTGAGGAGTTCTCGATCAGAACTGGATTTGAAATGCACATGGCTCACTCAAAGCTAGATGCTTCTTAAAATAAGAAACTTGTTGGGGCTGGGGGTTAGTGCTTTTAGAATCAGCTGAAGTCTAGATTCAGGGCAGCTGTGAAAACGTTATCATTTAACTATATAGACTTAAAGTTTTTGCAAATATCCCTCTTACTTTCCACCTCCTTTCCTGGTCTGTGGCTTCTAGATGCCCCAAGGCTTAATTTCCTCACACCCCTGAATTATGTAATTTAACATAATCCAAGAACCAGGCGTCACCCAATGAAATTAATAGGCGGCGGGTTTGAAACAAACAAACAAGAAGTATTTCTTCACATGATGCGCAGTCAGCCTGTAGAACTCGTCGCCAGGGGACATGGTGGAGGCCAAAAGTATAAGTGGGTTCAAAAAAGAATTAGATGAGTTCATGGAGGATAGAGCCATTGATGGCTATTAGCCAAGATGGTCAGGGATGCGACCCCACGCTCTTGAGTGTCCCTAAACCGTCAACTACCAGAAGCTGCGACTGGATGACGGGATGGATCACTCCAAATTGTCCTGTTCATTCCCTCTGAAGCATCTGGCACTGGCTGCTGTCGGGAGACAGGGTACTGGCTAGATGGACCCAGTGCGGCTTTTCTTATTTTCCAGCCCTATGTACAGGAACATATTGCATGTGATGTAGGACCTAAGTAGTGATGGAAGCACAAAATATTGGTTGGAACATGAAGTGAATTATGTTTTTACACCAACTTGAGATCTAAGCTGGTCAGAAGCCGGGTGGGTTTGGGGAGCAATATTAGTTTTTCCTCTGCAATCCCAGGCTGCTAGTGGCTCGTTTGGGCCGCAAGATTCTTCTCTTTGTTCATTTAAAAGAAGCTTTTTGTGTCCTATAGCAACTGTTGCTCCCTGTAGCAGAGACTCACTTACAGTATAGAGCAGCCCAAACCACTGGCCATGGGCAGATAAATCCAAAGTTTGGGTGTGTGTTTGAAACTTGTTCAGAGGGTGTGGCTGGGGCGGGACAGGTGCTGTTGGGTTAAAAATGCTTGTGCCTTTTCAAAGTCGCTCTCCCCTTAAGCATCTTCTGTAGTGCAGTATTTGCGGTTTAGGCTGAGAGGGGTGTTGAGTTTGGGGTCTATCTACCCAACTTCCTGCCCGTCATTGGCGTTAGGAGCAGAATTTGAAGGCCATAAGAAAAGCTACCTACAAAAGGACCATTCCCACCCTTCATCAAATTCCCTGGACCAGCCGTTCCTCGATAAGCTAGCTTGCTCGTTTCCCTTGGTTAATCCTTCTGCTGCTATATCCCCCCCACCCTCCGAGCGAGACCAATCAGAACACGGCACAGCTGTTGTGGTTGGACCCTGTTGTTACCTTTCCAGGTGGTTCTATCAACCTCTGATGGCAGGAAGGCGTTTTCGTCCTGCTCAGGCGGGCAGGTCGTCAAGGCACTGGGGATCGTGTGCCCCTCTGGCAGTTCAGTAGCGGGCGGATGGGCTGTCTCGCTGGAGTGTGTATCCTCCAGCACAGAAGCCCTTTAGAGCTTGGAGAGTCCCCTCCTGGTGTGTGAGGCAGGCAATTTGTTCAGGGGGTTAGAGCAGGGGACTGGGAGTCAGGAGACCTGGGTTCTATTTCTGATTCTGCCACTGACGTTCTGGATGACCTTGGGCTAGTCACTTACCCCTCTGTGCCTCAGTTTCCCCACCAGTAGAATGAGGTGCTCGTACCCGCCTGTGTAAAGCACTTTGAAACCCTTGACTGGGAGGCACTATCCAAGTGCACAGTATTAGCCTCTCCCAATAAATTACCCAAAGGGCAATACTCTCGTGTATGGAGTGACGAGATTGTCTCAGAGCCCCCGTCTCATCAGCAAAACATTTCCTTCTGTTTTAATCAGAACAGATGGAAAGATCTCAGCAGCAGTGTTAAGAGCCCCTCCCCGGTCTCTGTTCGTTGGGCTCGGCTACTCACGTGACTCAAGTCAGAGGAGTTCAGTGGGTTTGTATGTCACAGGAATAAGCGCTGCGTTGGGAGCCTCTGGAGGATTTCA